GAGCAGTCAGGCAGATCTATATTATTTATTTGTAATTAAGCACAAAGCTACACAATGGGCTATCTGTGCTCTGCCCACCACGGGTATCGAAACCCGGATTCTAGCGTTGCAAGTCTACAGACATACCGCTGTGCCACTGGGGGGCGGTAGATCTATAAACATTCATTACATGTTTCGTGGCACGCATTCAGAATTTCCCGTGCTAGAACTTTTCTGAATATCAAATGTTCGCATAAGAAGGCGACACAAATAATAATATATTATATATATTACGACAGTGTCACAATGCTAAGTCTGACAACCGGGTTTCGATACCCGTGGTGGGCAGAGCACAGATGGCCATTGTGTAGTCTTGTGTGTAACACTAAACAAACAAATAACATTAGAATGTCGATGACATTATCTTTTCAATTTTTTGTGCATTTTTTTGCTAGTTATTACTGTCTGACCACATTTGTATCCTATTGAAACTCATCCAATTGTTTGGAAGGAAACAAGTTTAACAAATATGAGTAATCAAAATCAACTAAGGTGTTTTTATTTTTGGCATGTATCAATAAATTAAATCTTTTTTCTACAAATTACAATACTATTATATTATCAGTGTAATTATTGTTACTTTGTCCAACTTGATATTCAAATGAAGAAAAGTTTGGCAATATTTTCCTCTATTTCATAATTTTATGTGAATTTTAGGCTAGCCAGATCTCAGTTTTAAATTGCCAGAAAGTTCTATCATGTTTTCGTTTGGACTAGAATACAATCGTTCTTCTTTTTTCTTTTATCAACAAAGGCTTTGTTTATTTCATTTTTTATTTGTAGTTAAACAAAGCTACACAATGAGCTATTTGTGCTCTGCCCACCACTGGTATCGAAACCCGAATTTTAGCGTTATAAGTCCGCAGATTTACGGATGAGCCACTAGGGGGCAACACAAGAAAGACCTCCACCATTCAAAGGTTCTCATTAAAGGCAGTCCATTGTTCTATTTTAAGTACTTACCTCCCTGGTGATGTAATGACGGAACCTTGCAAATAATGGTTGGAAACAGGGCAAAGTTTATAAAATATTAACGTTTAAGTTATCAGCTAAGCAAACTAATGATCAGAGAGAGTAGGCAGTGTGCTAGCATTCGGCAATAGTTTCCATGTTTATATTTAATATGAACAGAAATCAAAAACAGATGAGTAATAAATTTTAAAAATTATCCGTGTAATTTAGTTTTGTTTTATGATTATAAACGAAGCTCTCTCGTTTTGTCAGAGATTGAATTGGTCATCCCTACCATTAGTACAAAAGCAGATTGAAAAAAAAAGGTGAACTTTCAAGCTATTTGGCGTATAAATGTTAAAATCAAACATTTACAGAATAAAATTATTTTTTAATTTGTATAAACAGGAAAAGGAATTCCTTGGACACATCGCGAAATAAATAGGTTATCCACAAAAGGGAAAAAAAACTGACAAAAGTTACTGGAATATTGAAAAGGATAAGAAATGATGTTTTGAGTTATTTCCCTGTTCACCGTGAGAGTGCATCATACCTTATCATTTCTTTACGACCATTTTTGGTTCATAAACAATAAGAAACATACACATCAATTTTGATATGACTAACTGAAGTCTAACAATAGGGGATACAATACACCGGCGTTTGGACGTATGTTTGTTTTAAAACTAATAACGAGCATGCACAACATCGTGTCGTTTTACCGCTTGTATTTTGAGGTTAAGAAGGAATAATTAGCGATTTTTATCTGACTGTTTTATTTGTAAAAACAATAACCATTAAATATCTTAAATTAAGACGTTTATCTAAACGTAATGCTTAATCTCGGCTTTGATATTATAGAAAGAAAATGCTATTATATAAAATAAAAATTAATTGCTGTACCATTGGATTGGATGAGTTCAAACAATTAATAAATAGTTGCTGAAAGTAATTTTCATGGTTACATACAAAGTAAAGAAATTGTTTTTTGAATACAAACGGGTGGAAAGCAAGGAAGAAAGGCATTCTCTGGTGTTTTGACGAAGAAATTAAGCATACGGAAAAATAATCGGTTTCAACTTTAACCTTTAAAATGTCGAAAAATACAAAAACTCCGAATTTATCGATACACTTCTAATAAAAAAACATGAGAAGCGATCTTTTCAGTCAAGGATTAATTTATTAAGTGATACACGCCAGTAACATTTAAATTGTTCGATATTTAACTTGAATGCTAACACGGGAGTTTTAAGTGACATACTATTGTTGAAAGCCATTTCGAGCTACTTCTAGGCATGGCCTATTTTCTCATAAATATCTTCTTGTGACAGTTCTGAACAGTCAATAATTTGTGTTTTAGAAGTTATGGCTTTCGTTTTCAGTGTCATATGACGTTTGTATTATTAAGGAAAAACTGATGGAACAATGCGATCTTGACTACCCAAGATTACAAACCAATGTATTATTCAGCGGTATTAGTATGCACGTGTACAATCTATTAATTAGACGTAACTCTGTAATAGTGATCTTATGGTTGTTGTCTCAATACGTTGTCATTCGCTGCAGGTCAGCGTCAATAGTTAACGATAGCTTTATCTTAGCGTAGCAGCAATAAAAATAATCAGATCTAACGGTTAATGGTAAGATCTAAGTGTCATACTTAATGAATTTACATCGCAACTGCATTGTGAACAACATAACAGTGCTCACTACAAAATAAAAAATCAGCCTGACTCTTTAAAATTGTACGCCAACAAAAATGAATTAATTTGGAAAGTTAACATCCACAATCAAAATGCCACTATTTAAGTTATTATATATATAAAACAAGATGAACGTGTTGAAATTGTTGACTAGCTCACTTTAAAGTAATCATAACACGTATTAGGAGTTAACTGTTAAACCGTATTTATTGAATAGCCCAATTACTTGTCGTTTGTTCACAAGGGAGCAATACAAGCAAGAAAATTAAAAGGCCTACTCAGCCTTGTAAAAAAATGGCTTGTTTATACTATTGGTTAGGTTCAGGTAAACAGGGATTTTTTTCTTTGTCTTATTGAATATCTCGCAATATACCCGGGGACTATCTGCACTAGTCATCCCTAATTTAGAACTGCGAGACCAGGGAAAAGACGGCTAGTAAACACCACCCACGGTTAACGTTTGGACTCTTCTGATCGAATACTGGGATTGGGGTCACATTAAAATTTTCATACGAACCAGCGACCCACAGATCGCTAGTTGCACGCTCTAACCACTAGGTCTTTGTAAATTATGAAACGTAGACATAATCGGCATTTCGTATATAATGTCTATAGATTTGTATCCTTCCCCATCTAGAAACATCGGGTTGGAAGTTTGAAGTTCTTAAGGCTTAGAATAATCCAAAAATCGCTTATTGGTTTAATCAACATTTTAAAGATTGTAAAAAATGCCTATTTCTCACGTCAACGTCGTCTTTTAGGAGAAGAAATGAAGTTGAAATTCATACAGAAGAAACAGTCTAGCACTCAACACGAATCAGTGAAGAAAGAACTAAGAAATAACGTATCATGGATCGACTACAACCACCTGCTTAACCTGATTAACAATGTTCATAATTCTTTTATCCTCAGTCACATGATGATTAACTTGACAATGTTACAAGACAGTACGATAGACAGTTACATTGTTTTCAGTCAATATTGTTAGAATTATAGTTATCGGCGTTACTTATTCGCACATGACTGATATTAAAACAGAAGTTTTCTCCTGCAACAACCTACAGATGTTAAGTTTAGTTTTAATTTTGCGCAAAGCTACACAAAGCTAACCGCCCATAATTTACTAGCGATATACTAGAGGGAAGGCAGCTAATCAACACCACTCACCGCCAACTCTTGGGCTGCTCTTTTACCAACGAATAGTGCAATTGATCGTCACATTATAACGCCCCTACGGCTGAAAGAGCGAGCATGTTTGGTGACAGGGATTCGAACCCGTGACCCTCAGGTTGCGAGTCGAGCGCCTTAACCACCTGGCATAGACGTTAAGATCCATGGTTGAAGTTGCAGTAGCGAAACCGTGTGGGCCTGAATAGAATTAATATTAAGATATTTGAAACCTGATTGTGGTGTTTAATTAAACTTTCTCCATGCGATTTGACTTTAAAACTTAAGCAATTAGAGATTTATATTTGTAATTAACATGATTTTTTTCTTAATATCCAAGCGAAAGATTCTTTCCAAACCTGAATTTTAATATATTTGTCACTTGTATCATTATTTTTTATTTTTTGTTCTTCAGATTTTCATGAAGGAATATTAATATCGATTGGAGTTTTCAAACTTGAAACATTTATACCAACAGTGTAAGAACGCTGTTAATAGTCTTTTCTTCGTGTTTAACTCAGATATTTCGTGAAGTATTTTATATAATTTTCCAAGTTTGAAGAATGCATTTTAACGTGTTATTTTTTTAGATAATTCGTTGCAAGACTTGGAAAGTCAATGTTTAAATTATTTCTCTATTTTATTAAACGTATGGTAAAGAAAGTAATAGCATTAACATCATATTTGATGACGTTTTTTATTAGCTATTCATAACTACTTTAAAAATCTATTTGTATCCCTGCCCCTAACCACTCATTTTCGCCCCCAGTGGCACAGCGGTATGTTTGCGGAATTACAACGCTAGAAACCGGGTTTCGATACCCGCGGAGGGCAGAGCATAGATAGCCCATTTTTCAGCTTTGTGCTTAATTACAAACAAATACTAAATACTCAGTTTCTTCCTGAAATAATTCATTGAGAAATAATCAACATATATATTTGTATTGTTTTTCAAATTTCTCAAAACTTTACAAGATGCTGCTCAAAAATTTCTAATAACAATTTTAACACACACTTTAAAGAATATTGTAACAGATAATTTGTGAAGTGATAACTATTTGACGTCCTTATTCATTGATCAAAATGTTTATGCGAAAAAATTTCTCGTAATTGTACTGTTTTCTATGGCAGGCTAAAATCATGAAGATGTTTGGAATTTTGATGGTGCTGTTCGCTACCAGTGTGGTTGAGGGTCAAGAGACACTCCACTGTGAGGATATGATCAGAAATGCTCGCCTCCCCTGTATCTGCACTATAGATTTAGAAAATGGAACTTCCATCAACTGTGATGAGGTATTCTTTTTTGGGGATTTTCCGATTCTTCCATATCGTCATCGTATTCACAGTTTTAGTCAGCGCCACGCTGGGCTACAGAATCTAGAGGCTCAGCTCTTCACCGCTAGTGATGTTCCTCTCAAGGTAGTTGATTTCTCCCACAATCTTCTTCGGCGACTCACAGAGAGAGTGTTTGATGGAATTGAAAATACAGTGGAAGAAATATATTTGAGTCATAATCTCTTTGGAGATCAGCTTAACCCAATCTTTTCTACAAATGAACTTCAAGGACTGCCACAACTTCGTGTTCTCGACTTATCGGCGAACCACCTACGTGATTTGAACAGTGATATTTTCAGAGGATTGGACAAATTGGAGGTATAAGAAAAATTTAAAAATTACACATGACTTCTCGTGTGTTATTTATCAGAGTACTCAATAAACACAAATAGTTAATTGGTATTGGTTTGTTTGTTTTTTTATAATGTTTGCAGTACACGCTTCATTGTTGAGCTTGAATAAAATATCTTTTGCTGGTTTCTGTGATCGGAAGTTTAGATTCATTGGCTAGATGTTATTTCCATGTGTAATTTCGTACATAAATATTATATATTACCGAATATGTATCCCCTGTGCATTTCGTACAAAATAATAGTTTATTATCAACTTGTGGTATGACTAATGTCATCTATAATATTAATTGTAATTTCTCCAAGATCATGTACTTTCTTAATCTATTTTACAAGGATTGATTGACGTTGAAGATTCTTGAACTGTATATATAAGTTTTATTTATGTCTGCACAGAAAACAACAACGACAGGGCAGTACAGTATATAACTTTTAATATAATGAAATAAGTCCAAAAGAATGTCTAAAATAGATATCTACATACGACTTTATTTTGTTTTTACAGGAGCTTAACCTCGGACAAAATGAGCTCTTCACAATTCCAGCATCTAGTCTTCAAGGCCTTCTTGCTCTGAAAACAATATTTCTTCAAGAAAATGGAATAAAACAACTACCACAAAGATCTTTTCCAAACCTGCCAACAATGAAGCTGTTGAATCTTACAGGAAATGATATCAGTTATATACAGGATGGAGCCTTTGTCACACTGTCTGGTCTAGAAACTCTTCTTCTTAGTAGTAACAGGTTGGATTCCTTACCCTCAGAAGCATTTGTGAGGCTTGATAAACTCCATACATTAGATCTTTCCGATAACTACTTTACCCTTGTTCCTCTAAGATCTTTGATGAAACTCGTAAGGCTAAAAAAACTTATTCTACATTCCAATAACATTCATTCCTTAGAAGGGACCCCTCTCGCTGAAATGGCTACTTTGGAGTTTTTGGATTTACGTCGAAATGGAATTATCGGAATTTCAGCAAACACATTTGTCGGATTACCAAACATGAAAGATTTATTATTAGACATCAACATAGTAAGGAGATTAGATGAAAGCATCTTCAGTGGGCTAGAAAAGTTAGAAAGACTTTCTTTAAACGATAACCAAATCCTTGCATATCCAGCTACAACCATAAGTAGTCTGAAATATCTAAAGAAATTTAATCTTGATTATAACAGAATAGCTGTTTTATCACCAAATATACTTAGAACTTCAGCTAAACTAGAAGAACTTTCTCTTGCTTTTAACCTTATTAAGGAAATTCCTGATAATCTTTTTGAAAACTTTGAAGCTCTTCGCCTACTAAACGTACACGGTAACAAGATAGAAGTGTTTAATAACAATAAAATAGTTGGTATTCAGCAAAGTTTATGGGTTCTTGACCTCGGATACAACGACATAAACCAGTTTCCAAAGTTGAATCTACCAAAACTTTTCATTTTAAGTATGGCCAGAAATAAATTATCAGCACTAGTGCCAGATGCTTTTGAAATGCTTCAAGATCTTAGATATCTTAACCTTAGCCGAAATCAAATAGCTAAAATACCAAAAACTGCTTTTCAAAAACTTTTATATCTTGAAAATCTGGACTTGCATGAGAACTTACTAACGGAAATTTCTCTAGATGTTTTTAAGAATCTGTCGTTGAAAGTGCTTGATCTTAGCAGAAACCAACTGCGAGAACTGCAGCAAAAATCCTTCCAAAAATTATTAAAACTCGAGAGGTTAGATCTCAGCATGAACAGACTGGCCCTCGTCCAAAATGGAGCTTTTGACGAACTAGATAATCTTAAGTTCTTAAATCTCAGGCAAAATATTCTGAGCTCTTTTAAAGGGGATGTTTTTACAACAAGAACAGGGTTAGAAACATTGGATCTCAGTCACAACCATATCACATATCTGTATCCCAACTCCTTCACCATCCATTACAAACTCAAGAATGTAGATCTAAGTTTTAACAGACTGACATTCTTCCCAAGTGAAATTCTAAAAGCTGTCCAAACCTTAGCCCATATTAGTCTCCAGGGAAATAATCTCCAGTCTCTGGATAATGCAGATTTTGCCAATATGCCAAACTTGAAACTTCTGGAGCTCCAGAATAATGCAATAAGTGATATTCAAGACAATACTTTCCAGAACTCAACTCAATTGCACAGGATTTACTTACAAAACAATCAAATTTCTTCTCTACCAGAACTTGCCTTTCGAGGTATAAGTCATCTAAACCTGGATCTCAGCAATAACAGTCTAAGTAAATTATCTCCAGAGATTTTTAATAGAATGAATGTCTTTTCATTGGAAAGTATTAATTTGGCAAGAAATAAATTTACAGAATTTCCAAACCTTGGTCTAAAACGACAGTATTCTTTTCTTGAGAAATTAGATTTATCTCATAACAAAATTAGCAACCTTCCCTCAAATGATGATGTGTTAGTAAACGTAAAGAACATAGACCTCTCACATAACCCTTTAACAGCAGATGCACATAGAGTACTTCTAGGAGAACCAAAAAGCATGAGAGAGCTCAACATAGCCTACACAAAGCTTGAAACTCTTCCAGAATTAGAAAGTCCTTTTTTAAGAACCCTAAATCTCTCAGGAAACATAATAAAAAGGATTGATGGTAATGTCTTTCAGAAGACAAACCTGTTGCAATGTTTAGATTTATCAAAAAATCAGATTCCAAACTTGAGTATAAGCCTTGCGACTGTTTGGTCCAAAATTACAGGTTTAGAAAAACTTGATATCTCAAACAATCCGATACTCTACATTGTTAAAGGAGACTTTGATCCTTTAACAAGTCTTAAATACCTCATGATCAATGATTTACATGAGCTCACTCTTTTCGAATGTGAAAGTTTAAAAAAACTTACTCTTCTGAAAGTTGTACGATTTTACGGATACCCATCGTTACTAAATCTAGCTATTAATGATTGCTTAAAGTATGCAGTTGGGCTTCAAAGTGTTTCAGTAGATATTACTGAGCCTCAACTTCAATCACAGCTACAACTAGTTTACAGCCCCAGGCTACGCGAGGTGGATGTTCGGGGTAGGAAACTGAGAAGTATATCTTCAAGTGCTTTTGCTGGCATTCGGAGTCCTAAAATTGATATTAAACTTCGAGAAACCACCATAAACGATATTTCAACTGCTATATTTCTACCTCTTCCAATATCCACTGATATTGCACTTGATGTGAAAAACAACAAAATTAGTAGCCTTAGTCCACAATTTCTGGGAACACTGGACAACAAACAAAGGGATATATCATTGGTAGGTCTAAATTTTAATCCAATCATATGTGACTGTAATGCTCTACCTCTCTGGCGATGGATTCAAAAGAAAATCGGTTCTATGGAGAAAAGGTTTTATGAACTCACTAAATTGGAGTGTTTTGGTCCTCCTCATCTAGCAAAACAAATGTTACAAGATCTTCAGGCTAATAGCTTTGTTTGTGGAGAGCAACCAATCACAATCCAAACGTCAACGATTACAGCCTCTTCCCCAACTACTCAGGCAACTATCCAGCATCGTGAAAATGACATCATCTTTGAACCTCGGCGCACAACCTCACGGCCTACACGTAAATCACCTTCTGCTAGTGGAAGCAGAAGTGCTCTTACTAAAGTGGACACTATGATCATTGCTATTGTGGCAGGAGTAGTAGCTTTTGTCTGTATATTGATCATAATCATCTGTGTGATTCGGTTACGTCGAGCAAGACCTCATTATACTGCAGGACCTCTTGCGGGACCTTTAGCACTACGGGCACAAGGCAAGTGCACCTGTCTCAAACCACCAACTAACTTATGTAACTGTTATGCTCCATATCCTATTCCACTCTCGTACATTCCTACAGGCCTTCCTCATGCGCTTCCAATGCGACCGAGGATTTTGTCTTTGCCTGCTCCCCCAATGTCTGGAAGTACCCTTGGCAGAGCAGTTCCTCTTAAAAGTCCACCTTACTATGTTACCTATCCAGAAAGTGATAATGAAAATAGGTAATGAATCAACTGGTGCTTTAATATTTAATAGCTAAGAGAAATATTTTCATTCGCAGATCCCTTTTGTATGAAAATTTATTAGTGTGACACAGCAGGATGTGACACTGTTGCAGGTGGATCTGTTATAGCATCGGCGAGTCCTTCTATTTTATAAAAGGAATAGCAGTTAAACCATTGAATGAATTTTAAAGAACAGGGAGAGTGTATGTTGTATAGTATCATATAGTACCAAAAAGTCAAATGGGTCCAACCTAATCTGAGAAAGAAACCTAAGCAAAGTAAGAAAGCAGAATATCTAGAAAACAAAGTGACTATACACGTATGACCACATTAAGTTCTGAGCTCAAGCTCAATAGCTTCCTAAGCTGTCATAACAACCAAAGTCAAATGTTGTTACGAGTTCGAAGAGACCACGCCCTTGACTTTGAATTTTGTTTACTTGTGAAACATGTTTTGCCTGTCCTATCATGAACATCATTATGCTTTATCAAAAATTGTAACGTTTTATTGATAACAAAGGCAAACTAATCATGTGTGTCTCCAATTGTAATGAAAAATATTTCAAATTAATAACATTTTAAATCAAATATCTTTTACTTACAAATGCAATAAATTCAAAAATAGCTGAAAACATGAAAATGCGATTGCTGCATTAAAAGTTACGGATACATAGAATGAGAAAAATAAAATATGTATTCAAGGTATAAAATATATCCGAAGGTATAACTGTTTAAATCATAATTTTTCCTTGCACTTCATCAGTCAGCTTAGCATTTGGAGAATCAACATATTGGTGTATCCAGGCCTTCCACCACAGGTATTAAAAGTCTGTCTTGAGCACTTTTGTCAATTCTTATAACTTGGTGCATTTCAGGTTATTGTCAGGAAGATAACTGTTGATCATGTTACTATTTTTTTAAACAACTAAATTAGATTTTCAATGGCTTGTGGTATTGCATTTCTCTCCTCAGAATTTAATATGCAGTTCTTCTGTTGAGATGCAACATTATTATATTAAACCTAATGACCGCTTCATTAGAATATGTAACGTTTTCCTCTAAAAAATGATTTAAATTCAGTGATCTGGGTTGCCTAATAATTTTAAGAATAACACACAAAAACTTAGAATAAATACAAATTTTGCTATTAGATATGACAAATATTCGTGATGAAAATCAAGCTAGACTGCATATGTCTTCATCTACGTGTTTCTAGTTTTCCCATTAAGTAGAATGTGTGTAATATTTTCCAGTTTTCGTCATTCAATTCCGTATTTTATATATTATATATGCCAAATATTCGTGATGAAAATCAAGCTAGATTGCATATGTCTTCATCTACGTGTTTCTAGTTTTCCCATTAAGTAGAATGTTTGTAATATTCTCCAGTTTTCAGCATTCGATTCCGTATTATAAATATTATATATGACAAATATTCGTGATGAAAATCAAGCTAGATTGCATATGTCTTCATCTACGTGTTTCTAATTTTCCCATGAAGTAGAATGTTTGTAATATTCTCCAGTTTTCGG